AAACATGGATACTCATCCGTCACCAGAGCGCTAGTTCCCAAGAGCATTTATCCAGACTAAGGCTTTAAGAGGTGGCTTCTTCCAAAAGGTGCTTGGAACAGGGCCAAAACCATCTAGAGTCCCTGCTTAGCATGCACCATTTTGCTATTTCGAACAAGTTTACGATTTTGTGCCTCCAACAATTGCGGCTGGACTTCCTGCTCAAGCATCTAGCCACTGACGAAAATATCTCTGCTAAACGAATATTTTCTCGATGGTAAATACTGAGCAAAACTGAATTAGTGAGCTGAAAAATCAAGACTGCCCTTCTCATTCACTGCTCCTCACTTCATCCCCTCCTTATTTTCTTTTTCCCAATGCAGTGCCTTGTTCTCTGATCTTGTAAATGCGATCCCGAAAAACCCAGAAGGAACAAACACTATCTGTCTGCTTTTACACGAAGAATCAATGCATTAAAAAAAAATTGCAGAGAAAGTACATTACGCTCGTGCATACGTCTATCAGTCCACCTTATCCAGCTCCTGAACTACGACAATTAAGAAGCTGAACTTTGAAAGAAGTTGCCTCCAGCCACTATCGAAAACATAAACCCGAATTCAATAAATGTTTCTGCGTTTTGAACAGTTATCAGAAATCCAAATTTGGATATCTGATAAATGATCAAAACTCAGAGTATCGCAAACATAGGCCTTTCTCGAACGGAAGAAGATCGAACTACTCCGGACGCAACGTGTTATCACTACACCAACGGTCTCTATGCTCTACATAATTTGGAGATATGCTGTACCCATTTGCACACGCATACTTCTGTTTTTGGCTCTTTGCGGGACTTCCATGACACAGAGGGTCAAGAGCTTGCTGAAATAATTATTTACTACCAATATTCAGACAAGTTTGGTGCAGCGGCAAATACCCCCATCACAGTTTTTAGCCCTTGCTTCTAGTAAGTCTACGAGAAGTGATTTTTCTCATAATTTTTCTGAACAGATTAATACTGTCGCATCTAGCATGCTGTGTGACAACTTTCAGCCAATTTCCAGTAAATTTTCCAGCATGGTACCCCTCAAGAACTTGTCTGACTGGCACTATAAAACAGTAAGCAAAAGCAGCGCCGTTGTGA